GTGACGCTGTCGCACAGCTTGCCATTAGCAATGCCCTCCCCCCTTCTGAGCGCCCCCGCGTTAGGTCTATCACTTCCGCCCAGGCTTTCTTAGATGCTGTTATCCGGCGCTATTCCGCCCCGCCTGCTGCCTTGGTGGGTCGCCTGATCCTACCGATGCTCTTTCCTGACCTTGCGTCTTTCCCCACTGTCGCTGACATGCGCACGATAGATGAGACTTGGCGCGCTGCCTGCACTGACGCGCAGCTTAAAGCCCACCAGCCGCCCCTTACCTCTACCCTCTACCTGCTTGCTACTCGCCTCCCTGACCGCCTCGCCGCTGCTCGTGACCGCTTCCTTAGCATTCACCCCGGTGACCTCACCCTCACAGACTTTGTAGACATCCTGACTGTTATAGAGACCCGCCACCGCTCTATCGCCCAGGTGAGCGGTACTGTGCCGGTCCCTATCTTTCAGGGTTGTGCCCCTGCTCAGATGGTTCTGCAGCTGTGGCTGAGACCGCCGCTGCAGCGCAGTTTCGTCCGGGGAAGAGTCGCCGCCCCAAGGCTGGGCGCGGCGGAGGAGGTGGGGGTGCAGGTGGAGGTGGTGGTGGAGTCGGGTCGTCTGGTGGTGGAGCGGACGAGGGGACCCTGCCAGGTTCGGCTGAGCAGCCGCCCAAGCAGCAGCAGCAGTCGCAGCAGCTGCAGCAGCCGCCCCAGCCGTAGCAGCCGCCGCAGACGAGGCGGGCGAGTGCCCTCTCGCCCGGGTGGCCTAGCGCTGGTGGTGGTCGTATGCATGGTGGTGTGCCGGGTGGCGGTGCGGGAGGCGTGCGCTGTCAGTACCAGATCCAGACCGGTCCTCGTCGCGGTTTCGTTTGCGGTAAGATCGGTCTCGCCACTGCCCGCTGTTTTCGTCGCCTGGACGACCTGTTTCGTCAGCGCTTCGGCCCGTCGCCCGACCTCCCAGACTGGCACAGTCTGCTTAGTCGTAGAGTTCCGATTTTTGACATGGACATGGATGCCATTGTTTCTGCCCTGCATGTCATGTATGCTGATGACTCTAGTGTGCTCCCCTCTTATTACTCCTTGTTGCCTCGTGTAGGTGTGCCTAGCTTAGCCTCCCCTGCTGTGTCAGGCGTAGGAGCTCCTGCTTTGTTTAGCCTTGGTGCTTCCGCCGTCGCCCCGTCGCCAGATGCCACTGCTTCGCCTTCCTTCACCTTGGACTCTGGCGCTTCCCGGTGTTTCTTCCGCGACTCCACTATGCTGACGTTGTTTCCTGTTCCTGCTGCAGTTTCTCTTGCTGACCCCTCTGGCGGTCCAGTAGTTGCCCGTAGTTCCACCACCCTTCCCTGTCCGGCGGTTCCTTCGGGCTCTCTCACAGGTCTGCATATCTCCTCGTTCTCCAGGAACCTAGTTGGTGTCGGCTGCCTCCAGGACCTTGGCGTCACCACTACGTTCCCCGGTCACGAGCAGTATGCTGTCTGTATCGAGGCCGCCACTGGTGCCCCCCTGTCCACGTTCCCCCGGGACCCGATGTCCGACCTGTTCACCTTGGACACCGTGACCCCCCCGGCTGGCGCGCCCCTTCAGGTCACTGCGTCTACCCAGGTTGCTGCTGCCTGCTCCTGACGGTCTCTCACTCACCCGACTCTCCTTTGGCACCACTGCCTAGGTCACCCTGCACTCCCGCGTCTGCGTCACATGTCCCAGCACGGTCTTGTTCTTGGTCTCCCTGGTTCGTTCCCCACTTTTCCCTCCTCCCCCGCCCCACCTTGCACGCCTTGTGTCGAGGGTCGGCTTCGCCGTGCCCCTCACTCCTCCTCGTTTCCCCCTACCACAACGCCGCTGCAGACCCTGCACATGGACGTCTGGGGCCCCGCCCTCGTCCATCGGCCGCGTCGAAAGCGCTACATTCTCGTGCTTGTCGAGGACTTCACTCGCTACACCACAGTCTTTCCTTTGGAGCGCAAAGCCGACGTGCTTGACGCTCTCATCCCCTGGCTTGTCTCAGCTCGTGTCCACCGAGGTCTCTTTGTCTTGCGTCTACACTCCGACCGTGGTGGCGAGTTTGCCTCAGGTGTCTTTGGTCGCTTCTGTCGTGCGGAGGGCATCACCCATACGTTCACCCTGCCGGACTCCCCACAGCAGAATGGGGTCGCTGAGCGACGCATCGGTTTGGTCATGGAGGTGGCTCGCACCTCCATGATCCATGCCGGTGCACCCCATTTTCTGTGGCCGTTCGCCGTGCGCTACGCTGCTCACCAGCTAAACCTGTGGCCGCACCCTCAGCGGCCTCAGGTTTCGCCGACCCTTAGTTGGACCGGGTCTCCTGGTGACGCGTCTGCGTTCCACTTCTGGGGCTGCCTTGCTCACGTTCGTGCCTCTGGCACGGACAAGCTCACTGCCCGCACCCTTCCCTGCGAATTCCTAGGTTTCCCCCTTGACGCGTCCGACTGGCACTTCTACCACCCGCCGTCGCACCGGTTCTTTCACTTGACGAGTTCGTCTCCTTCTACCGTCGCTTCCCCCACCGCGGCCCCCCTGTCACTCCCCCCCTGTTCCTAGTCACTCCTTCCCCGGTGGTCCCCCCCCCCCCCCCCTCCCCCTCCCCGTCCTACCCCCTCCGGTGTTTCCCACGTCACCCCTCTCCCGTCGGTTGTCCCGGTCGAGGAGTCCTCTGACTCTGGTGGTCCTGCGGCGCAATCCTCTGCAGCCGCCGTTGCCTCTGCCTCTGCAGCCGCCGTCGCCTCTGCCTCTGCAGCTGTCGTCTCCTCCGTCGCCGCAGCCGTTCGTTGCGTCTGGGGGTGCTGGTATTGGAGTGGGTACTAGTCCCTGTGGCCCTGGGGGTGGTCCCGGTGCTCGAGTGGTTTCGGGCTCTGGTTGTGTTCCTTCTGGGGGTGCAGGCGTGGAGTGTTCCGGCGGTAGACGAGGAGCAGCTTGCGGTCCGGGTGTCGGTGCTGTGCCGCCGCAGCAGCAGTCCCCGCCAGTGTCCGCCCTTCGCCTGCTCGGCCTTCCGTCCCCTGACCCTGCGTCTGTTCCTCTTCTGCCTTCTCCTCCTCTTCCCGTCTACGGCTCTGTGTTCCCTCCGCCGGACTCGTCCCCGGCTCGTCTTCCCCCTCACTCCCCCCTTGTGTCGCCTCCTCTGTCTCCTGACCCGACTCCTCCGTCTCACGTCTGGTCTTGCCGTCCCTCCCGTGCTCGACCTGTCTCCCCTGTCTCGCGCTCTCACCCTATGTTGCTTCGTTCCCACGCGTCTCGTCCTCCCCTTCTCCCATTGCCCCCTCCGTCCTCCCTTGTCGGTGCTCCCCCCCCTCTGTCTGACTACTTGCGTGCCGCCCGTCCTCTTGTTCCTCGGGTCCTTGCCTCTCTCGTTACTGACCCATCTCTTCCGGTTTCGAGTCTTGACGCCCTTGTCGTTGCGGTCGCTGACTTCGTCTCTACCCGCCGCCTTGACTTCGCCACAGCTCTGGTCTCTGACCCTGCCTGTCCTCCGTCAGTCGGGGGTGCTCCTGCCCTCGGCAGTGACGTCCTGGAGGACCGCCAGTTCGAGCTTGCTTTCCTGTCCGAGGCTGCTCCCCATCTCTGTTCCATGCTGCTAGTCCCTAAGGGTGACCCACACGCTTTCGACATCCCGACCCCTCTCACTTACGCTGAGGCGACCTCGGGACCCTGAGCCTCCCAGTGGATAGCTGCCATGGAGCAGGAGATGGCATCTTGGAGATCCACCAGCACCTACGTCGACGCAGTTCCTTCGCCTGGGGTGAACGTAGTCGATGGCCGCTGGCTCTTCAAGGTGAAGCGCCCTCCTGGAGAGCCGCCTGTGTTCAAGGCGCGCTACGTGGCTAGAGGTTTCTGTCAGCGTGAGGGGGTGGACTTCTTCCAGACCTTCGCTCCGACCCCGAAGATGACTACTCTTCGGGTTCTGCTACACCTAGCAGCTCAGCTTAACTACGAGCTTTACTCCCTCGACTTCTCCACTGCCTTCCTTCAGGGCAGCCTTCACGAGCAGGTCTACCTGCGTCGCCCTTAGGGCTTTACTGACACCTTCCCTCCTGGGACCCAGTGGCTCCTTCGGCGTCCCGTCTACGGCCTGCGGCAGGCTCCCCGTGAGTGGCACGACACGTTGCGTGCTACCCTTGCTGGCCTGCAGTTCTTTCCGTCCTCTGCAGACCCCTCACTCTTCGTTCATGCTGGCCAGACTCCGTTCTACGTCCTTGTTTACGTGGACAACCTGGTCTTTGCCACAGCAGACAGGGACGCACTGGCCTCTGTGAAGGCAGAGCTGCTGAAGAGACACACTTGCACTGACCTTGGAGAACTGCGCCGTTACCTTGGCTTGCAGATCTCCAGGAACAGAGCAGCGCGCACCATCACCTTGACTCAGTCACACTTGGTGCGCCAGGTCCTTCAGAGGTTCGGCCTTCAGTTCTCCTCTGCACAGCCCACCCCTCTGCCTCTAGACCACAGACTCTCCGCTGGCTGTCCTTCTTGCTCACTGACTTAGGTGAGCGGCCTAGCTCTGCCTCGGTCCTGTACGCTGACAACAGGGCCATGATCCTCCTGTGTCAGGAGCCTCGACTCGAGGGCAGAGCGAAGCACATCCAGCTGCGGTACTTCCTCCTGCGCGAGCTACAGCAGCGCCGCCAGGCTCGCATAGAACACTTGGCCTCCGGTGCCAACACAGCTGATATCTTTACGAAGGCGCTTGTGCCTAAAGATCATCAGTGGCACTGTGTACAGCTCGGTCTAGTTCCTGTAGCCTCTCACTTGCTAGGGCCTTGATTTTGTACTGTCCTATATATATCTATACGTACTCAGACTGGACTTGTTTCCTCTCCCAGTGGCTGGACTAGTAGTGCCGCCCTGGTCTTGTTCTTGCCTTGCCTGTACTCCTTTTGACTGGTCTTTAGACCCTTGTCTCAGTGGCTGGACTAGTAGTGCCACCCTGAACTGCTTGTTCAGGACCTGCCCCTATGCAGTCTAGGGGGTGTGTCAAACATGTGTATCTCTAATGTTTGCATAGACTGTATAGGGTCACCTCTTAGAGGGTACAACACTTACTAGGTATATTCACTTGTACTCTCTCCCTACTCATTCATTCAGTTTCTTACTTTGTTAGAAGGTGCCCCCGTCAGCAAGAGAGCACCTCGGTTATTGGATGGGCGGCCTCAGGATCCCCAAAGCTCGGTGTCAGGTGTCTGATTGGACGAGCCCAGTATACACTAGCTTTTGGTGCAAGATGAAAACTAATGATGAAAACACGGCATGTTTTTGTCAGGTAACTATCATCATAACACCGTGGCAGTGGAAGGCTGAGGCTCCAGAAGGTGAGCAACACGAGGGTCGTCACGACGGGGTAGTCCTGGACGCGCTCCAAGGGCTTGGCATTTTGCTGCAGCCTGCAGGGTCACAACATGCCAAGACAAGCATGCCGGGAGGAAAAACATACATCTACAACAAATAGAGAAGCTAAGGGAACGAGAGGGAACGAGCAATAGTAGGTGGCAAGAGGGGGGCAGGAGGTAAGCCAGCTTGGCAAGCTAATATGTGTGCTTACAACAATGGCACCAAGTGTGAGCATGCGATCCACAGCGAAGCCCGCAGAGATGGCTGCAGGGAGGGTAAGTGGGGGCAAAAAAAAGAGGGAAAGCAACAGGCATTGTGGAGCGAGGAGCAGCAAAGGAGGACTTTCATCGATGAAAAGAATGCCAGAGCAGCAACAGCTAATACATGACGCAATTAACCAGCTACCTCAAGCAGACTGAATCTCAAAAACTCTGAACGACCGGCTATTTGGAGCTGATGTTGAATGGTATAGGCGAATCATCGATATGGCAGCTGAGTGAATGGTCGTAGTGCGTAGTGCATGGTTAGGCCGAATGGTTATGGCAAATGATTATGGCGAATGTTTATGGCAAATGATTATGGCGAATGTTTATGGCAAATGATTATGGGGAATGCTTATGGCGAATGGATGGTAAAATGGTTATGGCGAATGGACAGTTAGGGCGAATGCATATGGCAAATGTTTATAGCGAATTCTTATGGCGAATGCTTGTGGCGAATGGTTATGGCGAAAGCCCATGGCAGATGCTTATGACTAATGCTTATGGGGATGGTTATGCCGAATGGTAACGGCAAATGTTTATTGCGAATGCTTATGGCAAATGCATATGGCGAATGGTTATGGTGGATGGTTACGGCAAATGATTATAATTGTGGCAAATGGTTATGGCCAATGAATGTGGCTCGCAATCTCCATATATCACCAACCATGAATCCCAGTGGTCGTCACCCGCCACAGAGAGAACACGCCATAGAGAACTCACCATAGAGTACGGCGCCAATGAAGGCATCACCAGCACCCGTGGTATCCACCACGTGCTCTGCCTCCAACGGCACAGCTGTCGCGGCCACCAGCTGGGCGGCGATGTCCATCCCCTGAGCTGATGCTTTGAGGAGCAGAGGCTGTATGCGGAGAAAACACCAGGCGCATGGTCGAGGAAAGAGCAAAAAGCACATGTTACTGGTTGAGGCAAACAGACTGAAATGTGAGGTGGGGGAAGACATACAGAAGGGTGCGCAGAGAGCAGGTGAGGAGTGACGGGTGGGGGGGGGGGAGTGGCGAGTACCTGAGACGCCAGCACAGCAGGGTTGCCATGTGCCCTCCCCTTCTCCTCCACGCCCCTGAACACCTGTTGCAGTGCCTCATCCACATCCTCACTGGGAGTGTCCGGGGCTGAGGGGGCATGATGGGGAAGGGGCAAGGCCCCATAGGGAAGGGGCAAGGCATACTGGGGAAGGAACCACGGAAGCATGGGATGCATTAGGGGAAGATGCATTGGGGGGGGGAGATGCGTGGGGGGGATGCATGAGGGGGGATGGGTGGGGGGGGGGTGCATGGGGGGGGGATGCATGGGGGGGGATGCATGGGGGGCAAGGCGCAAAAAAACACCTTTTTTTTTTTTTTTTTTTTTTTTTGCCCGTTCTGTACGGTACTCAAGTTTCCAGCCACTCTCTGTAGCACACTCTCTCTAGTATTTCCAGCCACACGCCGCTGTCGCGGCGTCTATTTCGTCGCCTGTAGACCGCGTTTAGTTAGCTCTGCCGCGATGCCACGATCCCCTTCTCCCATGTGGGAGCATGTGACGCGAACATTCAACTCCGAGGGCAAGCTGACGCGGACAGAGTGCAAGTACTGCCTTCAGAGTGTGACGCCAAATGCCACCGTATCCAAGAGCACATTTTCGGCACGCCTGCGTCAAAGTTGAAGAATATTGCGGCGTGCACGTCAGACTTCGCGCTAAATTTCCGCACGAAGGGAGACATGGAGCGGTCATCGACAAGCTCGGCAACCATGTCGGCATCCCAAGGGGCGCATGGGCAGTGTTGCGGCCAGCAAGACATCCGCGACATGATGGAGTCCGCCGCACGGGAGCGCCTCGACCACCTCTGGGCGACGGCCGTGGCCGAAAACGACTGGGCAATTCGATGCTCTCAGTGAGTTCTCTCAGTCTCCCGCCCCCTTCCCACGTCCCGCCCTTTATTGCTTTCGCCGACTCGGTTATGGACGTCCACCATAGTCCATTCACGCATCATGTCTGCCTCACGCTCCATACTTATATCTCATCCACTCCCGCCCCTCAGGTCCAAGGCTTTGCAGGCCTTCGCCGACGCCTCTGTAGCGTTTGGGAGGTCGTACAAGCTCCCATCTGCCTACAAGGTGTCGGGCCCTCTGCTCGCGAAGCTGAAGGCGGAGTGCAAGGAGCTGGTGTCCCCCCTCAAGCGAACGTGGACCATCGTCGGCTGCAGCATTTCAGTCGACAGGTGGTCGTGCTTGAAGAGTCGCGGCATCGTCTGCGTCATTGCGCAGAACGACGCCGGCCCTGTGCTTGTGGAGGTGGTGGACTCCAAGACAAACAAGAAAACTGGCGACTACCTGGCGGAGTTGATTCACCGGGGAATCTGTAAGGCGGGCGACACAAAGGTGGTGCAAGTCGTGATGGACAATGCTGCTAACAACAAGAAAGTGGCCGCACTCTTGAAGGACGGGTTTCTCACAGTTTTTTTTACTAATTGCGCGGCTCACTACTTGGACTTGATGTTGCATGACCTAGCTCACCTTCCCATCATTGCGCGGGTGCTGGCGGAGGCGCACGAGATCTTCTCGGCACTTGAGCTCGTGCGCCCCGGAACCACCCGCTCCGGAACTTAGGTGATCATGATCACCAAGTTCTTGAAGGTGAAGAAACCGCAGCAGGCGGATGGTGATTAGCAAGGAGTGGCGAGATGTCCCCGTCGCCAACTCCGATGAGGGGCGGGCGATTCGGAAGCTGCTTTTGGAGGACACCTTTTGGGAGTCGGTTGACATGATCTTGCAGCTCATGTCGCCGGTGTACGAGGTGCTCCGTGCCGTGGACAAGCGTGCCTTGCTCATGGGGAAGCTCTATGGCCTGATGCTGGATGCTACAATCAAGACTAATGAGGCGGCAAGCACGGCAGGTAAGGACATCACCACCGCGCGTTCGCGCCCCATTTGAAGCCTCATAATCTGCCTCCTTGTCACTTGCTTTACCTCTGCCCTGATGTCTCCCACGTTGCATGTGCGCTTCTCACCTGCCTTCCCTACTCTCTCCCGTCACCACTTCCTGCAGCGTCGTTCTTCGTGAGAAAGACGGAGCTACTGACGTCTAAGGACCGAGCTGCCTTCCTCACCGACGTGAAGAGCATTATTGCCCGGAGGTGGGATGGGCAGCTCCACAACCCCCTCCAGGCTTTGGGGTGGTTGCTAAGCCCCCTCAGCCAGTTTGCGGACGACGTGTCGGTGGACACGGAGATCCGCAAAGGAGAAGATGCCGTGATCGAGGCCCTGAACCCCGACGTCGCTGTGCGCACCATGCTGAACGCCCAGCCGGCGTCCTTCCACAAAAGGGAGGGGAAGCTCGGAGGGAAGGATGCAAGCTGGACGGCAACCACCCTGGTGCAGAGCGGCTCGATGTCGGAGGCGGAGTGGTGGCTGCTGTACGGCGGGGAGGTGCGGGCTTTGCAGGAGCTTGCTGGGAGGATTCTCTTACAAACGGTCACGTCCTCCGAGGTCGAGCGATGGTGGTCGGCCATGGCCCGAGTTCAACGGCGCGACCGTAACTCCCTGAGCTCCAAGACCATGATCGACGTGACCTGGGTTGCCTCCAGTAGGCGCACCACAGCCGCGTTCGACCAACAGCTGGAGGCTCGCTCGAAGCTGTATGCCGACCTTGCCTCGGGAAAGCTCAAGGAACGCTGCAGCGTGCCACAAGCCCCCCTGGAGTTACCCAAGGAGGAGGAAGTGGAGGCAGGGGAAGGTGGAGACGTCTGTACCATAGACTGGAGTACCTTCGGACTGTGCGGCGGGCGGAAGAAGAAGAGGAACGGCGGGAGCAAGGCGGGCAAGAAGGCAAAGAAGCACAACGGACCCAAAAAGGGCCAGGGGAAGCGTGCTGAGGAGGAGGAGGAGGAGGAGGAGGAGGAGGAGGAGGAGGAGGAGGAGGAGGAGGAGGAGGAGGAGGAGGAGGAGGAGGAGGAGGAGGAGGAGGAGGAGGAGGAGGAGGAGGAGGAGGAGGAGGAGGAGGAGGAGGAGGAGGAGGAGGAGGAGGAGGAGGAGGAGGATGAGGATGAGGATGAGGAGGAGGAGGAGGAGGAGGAGGAGGAGGAGGAGGAGGAGGAGGAGGAGGAGGAGGAGGAGGAGGAGGAGGAGGAGGAGGAGGAGGAGGAGGAGGAGGAGGAGGAGGAGGAGGAGGAGGAGGAGGAGGAGGAGGAGGAAGTGGAGGAGGAGGAGGAGGAGGAGGAGGAGGAGGAGGAGGAGGAGGAGGAGGAGGAGGAGGAGGAGGAGGAGGAGGAGGAGGAGGAGGAGGAGGAGGAGGAGGAGGAGGAGGAGGAGGAGGAGGAGGAGGAGGAGGAGGAGGAGGAGGAGGAGGAGGAGGACACATAAAACGACAGAAAAAAACGACCGTAGTATACAGACCGTATAAAATGGAAACCGTTTTCTTGTGCCTTGATGGGGGGGGATGCATGGGGGGGGGGATGCATGGAGGGGGGGTGAAAAGGGGGGGATGCATGGGGAGAGATGCATGGGGGCGAGGGGGGGGGGGGATGCATGCAGGGAGGATGATTAGGGGGGGATGCAAGGGGAGGAATGCATGCAAGGGGAAGCATGGGGGGGTTGCAAGCAGGGGAAGCATGGAGGGGTTGCATTTGGGGGGATGCATGTGGGGGAATGCATGCTGGGGACGCATGCGGGGGGGTGCAGGGGGGGGATGCTTGGGGGGAATGCATCACGGGGGATGCATCGGGGGGGGGGGAGATGCATGGGGAAGGATGCATTGGGGGTGGATGCATGGGGGGGGATGCATGATGGGGGGGATGCATGGAAAGAAATGCATGGGGGGCGATGCATGAAGGGTGGGGGAGTGCATGAAGGGTGGGGGGGTGCATGGTGGGGGATGCATGGGGGGGAGATGCATGGCGGGGGATGCATGGGGGGGAGATGCATGGGGGCGGGATACATGGGGGGGGATGCATGGAGGGGATGATTGGGGAGGGATGCATGGGGAGGGATGCATGGGGAGGGATGCGCTTGGGAAGGAATCCAGTTCGGATACTATGTCCAGAAATTGGCGTGATCCAGGGATTGTCGAAATTATTATGCATCCTGAAATACAGCACCACGCAGCACATGCCACTCAATGCAGCTATCCCTGACCTGCAGCCACCCGTCGGTCCAGCATGGCACACCCGGCTGCCCCACGTGTGACTATAATGAAGCGTGCCTTGGGCAGGCGCCCTGCCATGGCCAGCAGCGCTGCTCCCAGTGTTCCCTCCCCCGTCCACGCCTGCAAGTGCGCCAAGGATGCGGCATACATGGTCACTGAATGAACGAGAGGTGAGAGCTGAATGGCCACCCAAGGGATGCAGATAAGCGGCAGCTGAGTGGCAGCACGCAAGAGATGCTTAAAGTGCGCACTTTGCAGTGACAGCAGCCACGGGCTTGCTGCAGCGACGCAGCCGCAGAGCAGCATAAAACAGAGAGAACACAGCAGAGAGGCGCATTGCAGGGGCTGGCCTCTCATCCTGACCTGGGGGAACTTCTCGGAGACAACGACATAGGTGGCATGGGCCAGCAGCTCGTCCAACCCGTCTCGCGGCTTCTCCGCATCCACCAGCACGGGCAGACCCAGCGCCACTGCCTGGGGAAGTGGTGTGGGTGAAAAGGGGATGGGAGGGGGTGTTGTGAGCAAGGTGCAAAAATACGGTCGTTTTTTTTTTTTTTTGCCGTATTATACGGAATCGTGTGATACGGTCGTATAAAACGGTTTAAAACGGTCAAAAGCTGTGTTTTTTGGTTGGTGCAAAAATACGGTTGAAAAATACGACCGTATTTTTCAAACCAACCAATATTTGCATGCTTTGGGCTTGTAACGAAATCGCAATGTGGGTTGGTTGGATCTTGAATGTTTGTTAGGTTGAAGTGATGGTTTTTCGCCGAGGCGCGATTCCAACATTTTGTCGAGCCGCCTGATGCCAACATTTGACGAAGAGAGAACGGGCTGTACACCCGTTTCGCTCGTGTCGTTGGGTTGCTTCCCGCCCTCTAGACTCAATTTTCGCGGGCCAAGCGACCTCCCCAAAAATTCGCGTGTCGCAAATTCGAATCGTGACCAATCACACTTGGTCATTTGCGATCCCTACCAACAACGTCTTTCCACGTCGCTCAAGAATGCAGGTTGGCCACCTGGTACAAACTTGGAGCACTTCCAGAAAGGTGAGCACAGTCTTGTACGCAGCTCACCTCGCACGATCGAATCCACCACACGATTTTCTCAGCTACTGGCGTTACTGTGTACGCCATGCCTAGGAAGCTATCCGACATTTGGGAGCATGTTAAGAAGGTGAAGAAGCCGACCGGCCTTGTTATTAGCACAGTTTGCATTCATTGTGGCTCTAGTGTCACTCCAAACGCGACCAGGATAGGGCAGCATATCTATGGCACCCCTAGCTCGATGGAGAAGAATGTCTCCACTTGCCCGTCGGACTACGCGAAGCAGCTGCGTGAGAGCAACCAAGAAGAACGTTCCACGTCCCCTGACGGCACGCAAGGACGAGCTTCGTCCTCGACGGTGCACTCTGCCCCGCGCTCGCGTCAGCAAGACATTCGCGAGCTAGCTGATGTGGCTGGCCGCCAGCGGTTGGATTATCTTTGGGCGACAGTGGTCGCTGAAAACGACCTCGCGTTTCGGACATCACAGTCGCCGGCCTTGCAGGCCTTCGTCAACGCGGCAGTCCAGTTTGGGAAGCCGTACAAGCTTCCATCCGCGTACAAGGTCAGCGGGCCGCTGCTCGCGAAACTCAAGACCGACACGGAGGAGTTGCTGCAGCCGCTGAAGGACACGTGGAGGACCAGTGGCGTTTCCCTTACCGTCGACGGCTGGTCCTGCCTTAAGAGTCGCGGATTCGTGGGCGTAATTGCTCAGAACGATACGGCACCCGTAGTCATCGACGTCGTCGACTCCAAAACCGCGAAAAAGACGGGGAGCTACATCGCGGAGCTTATTCGACGCTCGATCTGCAACGTGGGGGACCGGCTCGTCATCCAGGTGGTCATGGATAACGCCTCCAACAACAAGAAGGCGGGGGCGTTGTTGAAGGAGGGGTACCCGCAAATCTTCTACACCAACTGCGCCGCCCGTTGCCTCGGCTTAATGCTGCACGACATAGGAGCAATCCGCGCCGTGCAGCGCATCCTCGGGCAGGTGCACAGGGTGGTGATGATGGTGAAGAAGTCAGCCTCCGCGGTCACTTTGTTCCACGAGGTCTTCAGCTCCTTGGAGCTTATGCGCCCGGGAGCTACACGTTTCGGGACGCAAGTGCTGATGATCGGGCGCTTCCTCGAAGTGAAGAAGGCCCTGCGGGAGATGGTGATCAGTGATGCATGGGAGGAGGTGCCAGTTTCCCGCACGGAGGAGGGGAAAGCAATTCGCAGCCTCCTCCTGGAGGACGTTTTCTGGGAAAGCGTCGCCGTGGTGCTCAAGCTCATGACACCCATCTACGAGGTCCTGAGGCGGGTCGACAAGCGATGTCTCCTCATGGGCCAGATCTATGGCCTCATGCTGGAGGCCACTGTCAAGACCACCGACGCGGCAGAGGCGGCAGGTAAGCCAACCTCTTGCTTGCCCATTTCCCCCCGCGGCGTGCGAGCGGCACTCATGTGTCATTCCCATGGGCGTTCTTAGCTGTACCTAATCTCACCCTCCCTCGGCACGTCTGCTCCCCGTGCAGCCGCCTTCTTTGTCAAGCGGACGGCGTTGCTCGAGGCGAAGGACAAGGCGAGTTTCCTCGTCACGGTGAAGAAGATCATCGCCAACCGCTGGGATGGTCAACTGCACAACCCGCTCCACGCTGCGGGGTGGCTCCTGAATCCCCGCAACCAGTACGTGGGGGAGGTGCGGAACGACCCTGAGGTGAGGCAGGGGGCAGAGGAGGTGTTTTTGGCGAGGGGAGGGGATGTACCTAGGCGCACCATGCTCGCGGCTCAGCAGGGCACCTTCCACAAGGGGGAGGGCCGCCTGGGATCCGTGGAGGCCTGTTGGGCAGCGACGGCTCTGGTGGTGAGCGGGCGGCTCTCCGACGCCGAGTGGTGGTGGATGTACGGCGGCGAGGTGGCCGCCTTGCAGGAGCTGGCTGTGATGATCTTGTCACAGCCAGTCACATCCTGCGAGGTTGAGCGCTACTGGTCGGCTCTGGCTCGTGTCCAAACGCGCGACCGCAACAGGCAGATGGTCAACTACCATGACTAGAGGTACGTTTAACCTACCTCCTACTCCTCCTCCCCCTCCTCCTCGGCATACCACTCCCCCGGCCCCTACTCCACCTCGTGGCGTGACCTCCTCCTCACACTACTACTCCTCGTCCTCCTCCTCATCCGCCCCACTGTCACCATCGCTGCAATCCCATGGGTTGCTCCCCTTGGCCCTCTTGCGAGGCTCCTTTGATCCACTGCCCTCGCCCTCCTCCTCGTCCTCGCCCTACTCCTCGCCCTCCTCATCCTCCTCCTCTTCCTCATCTTCCTCCTCTTACTCATCCTCCTCGACGGTACCCCTCCTTCAACAACGCCCCCGCCTTCTTGTTGTTGGAGGCGTTATCCATGACCACCTGGATGACGAGCCGGTTCCCCATGTTGCAGATCGAGCGTCGAATAAGCTCCGCGAGGTAGCTCCCCGTCTTTTTCGCGGTTTTGGAGTCGACGACTACGGGTGCCGTATCGTTCTGAGCGATTACGCCCACGAATCCGCGACTCTTAAGGCAGGACCAGCCGTCGACGGTAAGGGAAACGCCACTGGTCCTCCACGTGTCCTTCAGCAGCTGCAGCAACTCCTCCGTGTCCGTCTTGAGTTTCGCGAGCAGCGGCCCGCTGACCTTATACGCGGATGGAAGCTTGTACGGCTTCCCAAACTGGACTGCCGCGTTGACGAAGGCCTGCAAGGCCGGCGACTGTGATGTCCGAAACGCGAGGTCGTTTTCAGCGACCACTGTCGCCCAAAGATAATCCAACCGCTGGCGGCCAGCCACATCAGCTAGCTCGCGAATGTCTTGCTGACGCGAGCGCGGGGCAGAGTGCACCGTCGAGGACGAAGCTCGTCCTTGCGTGCCGTCAGGGGACGTGGAACGTTCTTCTTGGTTGCTCTCACGCAGCTGCTTCGCGTAGTCCGACGGGCAAGTCGAAACATTCTTCTCCATCGAGCTAGGGGTGCCATAGATATGCTGCCCTATCCTGGTCGCGTTTGGAGTGACACTAGAGCCACAATGAATGCAAACTGTGCTAATAACAAGGCCGGTCGGCTTCTTCACCTTCTTAACATGCTCCCAAATGTCGGATAGCTTCCTAGGCATGGCGTACACAGTAACGCCAGTAGCTGAGAAAATCGTGTGGTGGATTCGATCGTGCGAGGTGAGCTGCGTACAAGACTGTGCTCAGAAGTGCTCCAAGTTTGTACCTGGTGGTAGGCTTGAGCAACAGGTCGCCGACCCGAACCCGACTTTTTGACGGGTCGGGTCAGGTTTCCCGTAGGCAAAACCCGACCCGTCGGGTTTGATTTTTACCCATCGGGTCGGGTCAACCCGAACCCGACATGTACGGGTTCGGGTGAACCCGACATGTCGGGTTGACCCGACCCGACTTCGGGTATACATCGTTGGGTTGACCCGACCCGACCCGACCCGAACTCGGGCTGCCCCTTGAACCGACGCGATCTGAGCGACCAGAGTTGCGCAGATCTGGAAAATCTGATTATTTGGCCGAATTTTCGTCCAAATGGGTCATTTCCCAGGCTACCTCCCGTTTCTACTCTGCATCCAGCTCATTCCTACCACTAATCTACTCCCCACCATGCTTATTAGTACAGCTTAGGGTCTAGGCAGATCCAGATCAATTTCGATTGGATCGACTCAACCAACACACCTATTCAACAGCCAAGCTCGACACCCCCCCCAACCCATCCGAATTTCGCCAACACCCCCAAACCATCCGAATTTCGCCAACACCCCCAACCTATCCGAGTTTCGCCAACACCCCCAAACCAACTGAATTTCGCCAACACCCCCAAACCAACCGAATTTCGCCAACACCCCCAACCCATCCGAATTTCGCCAACACCCCCAAACCAACCGAATTTCGCCAACACCCCCAAACCATCCGAATTTCGCCAACATCCCCAACCCATCCGAATTTCGCCAACACCCCCATGCCATCCGAATTTTCGCCAGCACCCCCCCAACCCACCCGATTTTCGCCAACACCCGCAACCCACCCAAAATCTCGTCAACACCCCCAAACCAGCAAAAAAATCGCCAACAATGTTTTCGCCAACACTCCCAACCAATCCAACACCCATACTGTGACTGGTTTTCGCCAACATCCAACCCACATCTCGAGGTTGTGTATGGGAGGATGAGGTGGGTGCGTGGGCTAGACACGAGGAGGACATACTGGATCTCGAAATTACGAAATCCATATGTTTCCCTCAGGAAAAAATACTAAGGTCGGGTCAAGTCAGGTCTGGTCGGGTTGGATCGACCCGACCCGACCACGGGTAAGAGATAACCCGACCTGTTATGGTCGGGTCGGGTCGGCGAAATCCTAGGATCGACCCGACTTGACCCGACCCGACCCGACCCGAACCCGACATCGGGTAGGGCAAAGTCGGGTCGGGTCGGGTCGGGTCGGGTTTATGCTCAAGCCTAGATTGAGGTGGTTGTGTGTTTCTCAGGTGAGCGCACCTGCTGGCATATCTTGATGGTGGTGTCGGCCAGCCGGCCGTCAAAGTAGGCCAAGGTGGCACCGGACAGCAGGGAGGCGATTGCAGCAGCTGACAGCTCGGACGGGTGCAGCGCAGGGGCGCCAGGCGTATGGATGCACGTGCGCGTGTTGCTGGAGGGGGAGGGGGGGGGGGAGGGAAATGTGAGTGGGAACAGAGCAGTGTGGAAAGGGAGGAGAGGGGTGTGGTGTGGAGTGGATAGCAACCAACGAACTGAGTGAAAAATTGCAATCAACAACAGCGGAGTGAGAAAGGAGACGGGAATAAAGACGGCGAGGGAGGGAAGGCAAGCGCCCAGAGAGGCACAGACGTCTGTTGGTCGACAATTATGTACGTGGATGGAGACATGCCTCCGCTGCCAACCTGCCATCACAAAACGTGCAGAGCGAGATGTGGGAAGCACATATAGGTGGAATGAAAATATAGGCATGACGCACATGTATGCATGAGGCATCCAACATCATTCATTCGAAATGACATCGATGGCATTGACTCAACATAAGGTGCCATTGACTTGAAATAACGTGGCATTGACTGACAATGACGTGGCAGGCATTGACTCACAATGACGTGCGAGGTATCGACGCCATCCGCCTGCAGCTCTGCTATCATGGCCTTGCCCAGCAGGTCGTCCGCCAGCTGACACGCACAGGCACGAGGGTGGAAGGAAGGGGAGAGACGCCGAGGGAAATACGACGAGGACAAGGGGAGGACGTTGCAGCAGAGACCGCTTAAATGACGTAGCAGCGGCAAGAGAGCATGGCCTACGGCAAAGGAATGGCGTGAGGCAAAGGGAGAGCATGGCGTGAGGCAATGCCAAGGGAGGGAGTGTGCGAGCACTGCTAGCGAGGGCGGTGACGCGATGGCGAGCCCGACGTGCCTTGGTGAATATGCGAGTGGAGAGCCCCAGGCGAGAGATGGCTGTGAGCGTGTTGCCCACATTGCCGCCGCCCTGCACCTGCAGCACGCACGGCGGCGGAGCAGCAGTGACACACACGGGATTGAAATCCCAAGGGAAGTGAGAGATACGAGGGATGTGAGAGATACGAGGGATGTGAGAGATACGATGGATGTGAGAGATACGAGGGATGTGAGAGATGCGAGGGATGTGAGAGATACGAGGGATGTGAGAGATACGAGGGATGTGAGAGATACGATGGATCTGAGAGATACGAGGGATGTGAGAGATACGAGGGATGTGAGAGATACGAGGGATGTGAGAGATACGAGGGATGTGAGAGATACGATGGATGTGAGAGATACGAGGGATGTGAGAGATACGAGGGATGTGAGAGATACGAGGGATGTGAGAGATACGAGGGATGTGAGAGATACGAGGGATGTGAGAGATACGAGGGATGTGAGAGATACGAGGGATGTGAGAGATACGATGGATGTGAGAGATACGATGGATGTGAGAGATACGAGGGAAGTGAGAGATACGAGGGATGTGAGAGATACGAGGGATGTGAGAGATACGAGGGATGTGAGAGATACGATGGATGTGAGAGATACGATGGATGTGAGAGATACGATGGATGTGAGAGACCCCAAAGGATCACATTGAGCGGCGCGAGATAGCGAGGGAGGGAAGGGAGGAGAGGCAACGCACCTCCAACGAGGTGCTTCGGATCTTGTCGTCTGGGTGGGGGAAGGCGGTGACGGCGGCGAGATAGTCGATGCACAGCCCGCCGCAACCCACCTGCCGCCCGGGTCACGCAACCAGGGGCAGGGACGAGGAAAAAAGGGCAGAACGCACATGGCGAAACTATCTCAGAGACATACTGGCAAGCTTAATCACAGTGTGTAGATGCAACTGCAAGTGCAAGTGCATGGCGCATCATGGTGCTCTAGTACTGTGAATGACAGCCCATGGCAGTGACTCGAGCCAGCGTCCCGTAACGTCGTTCCATATTAGCTAGTGATGAGCGGCGATGCACCACACGGCTGCATACCACGCAGACGCGGCTCAGCTCGGAAACGACGGATCCATCGCGGTCTTCTGATTGGCTACCGCCTGGCGAGGTGCCGGCCATGGCTCTGGTCACTCGTCTGCTGCCACGTGGCGATGCTGCCGTTAGTACTGACAGTGACTGGGAGACACGCAGTGAACGGGAGAGACGCCTGAACGGCGAAGGTTTCCAAACTAAGTACGGGGATAGGCGACGGGGATGAGCGACGGGATACGTGATTGCGTAGAGGCTAGAATCTAAAACGTCACATGGCTTGCCAGGGAAAGCTGGTTCTGACTCGACTCAAGGGGGCAAGGTGAACACAGCGTAACGAACAAGGTGCCGGCATACAGTCTTCGAATCTAACCTAGAAAACATCGCCGATCTTCTTTCTCCGATAACCGCAGAAAGCGGTGTCTCTCCATCGACTGGTCTCCGATGAAAACCTAACCCTTTCACGGATGCAACAACAGTGGGACTGTCACGTGGAACAGGTGCAGTTGCTGCGGCTCCAGAGGCACAGCAGGCTGCGGCATGGCTTGAGCCACACCCTAGCACGACAGGAGCCATAATAAGTTCTACTAGACCCACGCCGCGTGATGGAATCTAGGCGAACTTCACCCCGAAGGGGCTTCCAGAGTAGCTTGTCCTTTTCGTACAGCACTGCTAGCACAGCTGCGGATGCAGTAACAGCATGCCCGTAAAACTTTTCTATTCCATTTCTTTTGAGTATCACCTTGTTTTGTTTAATTCTATTATGAACCTGAATTCCACTTCGTGTTTTGTTAAAGCAAAAGTATACAATAGCTTCAAGGTTCAAAGGGTTTTGAGCCGTGAAAAGGGTTAGCGAAAATAGCGAGGGTCGCAACCTCGCTAGAAACCTCGCACGCCCCACCCGAAAGGAGGGGCTCTCGCAAACAGTCAAATACCCCCGCGAACACTGGCAGGTCGGAGGGGTTGGGGGTTGGCGGCACACCGACCCTCAGAGTAACGGAATGAACTAGAATGAGAGATACACGATGGTTTTGTGCCAAGAGGTTGTACTCTCTAAGAGTACGCACCAATCGGGGCCTCAAATTCGTTTTGGGGCACCATGATCGCTCAGGCTCCCCCCTAACCTCACTGTTTTTTCAGGCCTCGCAAAGAAACTTATGCTGATCAATCAGGGTGTTGTAAAGATTTTGCGCAGAATAAACAAAGTTACCTACAAAAAATACACTGTTAAAGTATATGCCCATTATTACTATCTTTATAAAGACAAGGGCTTACAATCTGTTGGAAATGTCTCAAAGGACTTAAGCGTTTCCGAAGTGTAACACTACACTCGAAGAAGATCGCAACGGGTACGCGAGTCAACGGAGGTTACACGAGGGGGTGTGCAAAGAACGCGAAGGGACTCGAAGGGTCGCAACTGGAGGTTGCGACTGACCGTTACAACAGCGCGGATGGTAACCGAAGCGACAATCGAGTCGCTGTGCGACTCGATAACCGCTCCTGCAACTGTATTCTACAACTGCTCTACTTTCCTATTTTCTATATATTGTTGTATGCTTGTTTCTTTAATCAATCACTTGTTCTAATATACTAGTACAAGGGTTCAACTACTCAACTTCCGCTGCACTACTCAAGTCTCATTCTTCAACTGGGACTTAGTCTCTGGAAAGATCCTAAGGGCTTTTCTCAGCCCAACATGGTATAAGAGCTGGTCAAAGACCAAACTCCCAGCAACGACACTCTATCTACAATCTGCAATTCAACGACATCATTAATCACAAGTCATGGACAACAAGGGCAAGAAAATCTCTACGGGCCCACCCAGCGCCCAAGACATTCAACCCGGCAACTCTGGATTGCATACTTCAGGACTGCAAACCGAGACCGGCGCTGCTCAAGAAACAACAGGAAGAACACCGGAAATGGTGACCCCATCACCCTCTTCAAGCGTGGATCCGAACCTTATGGAAAGGTTCTTCAGCTTCATGTCGCACTTCGACCAGCAGCAGCAGACAAGGACACCTGCGCATTCAACACAGAGCAACGGAGGAAACATGGGATTAGCACCGATGAGCCTCGACAATTCATCGTTCGGGCGACACAATCAAGCGCCTACCTTTGCGCCCTATCACTCTTCACCGGGGACATTCGAGTTCATGCCGCCCCGTGCCCAACCAACAGCAGCTGCATCACAACAGACACCAAACGAGATCTTCAGTCTCCAGGCGCAGTTTTCACACATAATCAAGTTACAGACATCCTCACCGTTCAACGGACACGACTTCTTTACCTGGAGTTTTGAGTTCGAGCTGCTGATGGAGGGTGCGCATCTCTTGGGATACTTCAACGGGTCCCTGCCATTCCCAAGCAACGGCACTGGAAAGGAGCAAGAAATTTTTACGTATCAGTCGCTGCTGGCGTATACAGTTCTCCTGCGGAACCTGTCACCACAAGAACAGCAGAGCATCAGAACGTATCGGAGCTACGGAAACTCCGCGGAACTCGCATGGCATCACCTCAAATGTCTCTATCAAGCAAACGACAGCGTGACACAAAGCAGACTCATGCAACAACTGACAACAATACAGATGAAGACCGGGGAAAATGCGATGCAGTATATGAGTCGCTGCCAAACCCTCCGCGACCGTTTGCTTCGGTGCGGAGGAACAATCACTGAAGAAAGCTTCGTGACGCTTGTCCTCGCTGGGCTTGGGCCAGAATGGAGAACCACACGCTCGCTTCTTCGCGCCCACGGAAGGATATCGGAGATGCACCTCTGCGCCGAGCTTCACGCTGAACAACAGGAGATGGACCTGTTTGAAGAAAGACAACCAAGGAAGTAGCAGCAGTTAGTTTTCTACACTCAACGAAGGAACGACAACAACTACAACCGACGCGGCAAGCAAGATCAACGCGACAACAGAGGACTCACCTTCGTGCCACCGTTCTGCCACAACTGTCAGACTTCCGGACATTCCCAAGTCAACTGCACACGTCCTCGTGTTTATCGTCCAGTAGACCCACACGTCGCCTCCACTCAAGAAAGCCCTCCAAGGCGCTCTTCCACATCTGCACAAGGGACACCAAACATCATTAACTGCATGGTACACATCGACAACTGCGCACCCGGATCACCACCCACTTACGCACCAGACGAAGAAGAACTTCCGCCGCCGCGCTCACAAGGACTTCAGGTCAACCCGACATTCGCTGCGGTCGCCAACGCCGAACCCACCGGGCAAAATACTTGGTTCTTGGACAGCTGCTGCGGTCAACACATGTGTTCTTTCGGACGCTTCGTGCAACGAGAGCGACGCCTCAACCGCGATGTCATCATCACCGTCGCCAACAACGAAAACCTGAAAACAAACAGACAAGGCGTGGTTCAGTTACAATCCATGGAGACAAACGTTATACTTCAACTCAACAAGGTCCTCATCGTCGACAACTTGGGATGCAACTTACTAAGCGTAAGCCAGCTATTGGCAAAAGGGATTCACCTGGAGTGCGACTCCTACTCCAACGAGTTTCGCCTTTACCACGGGAAGGGCGGTCTCTTCATCGGTCGTGCTCTCCTGAAGTCCGGCGTCTTTGTGTTGGACTTCGTCCCTGACCGCGGTACTGCCGACAGCGACGGAATCGTGTCGTTCACCGCCTGAACACACCCGCCGGATCTTGACTCTGACTTCAACCCCGATGGATTCTGGTACTCCAACACCATACCTGCAGCAGAGGGAACACGAGCATTAGCAGTCATCCGACAAGAAAGACAAGTACCAGCAAGTGTCACTTCCCAACCATCACCTGCAGTAGCAGCAGCAAGACCCAGCCAAGTACCACCACCAGCGATCCGAGGACCACCAACCAAAGCAGATCAACTTATGCCCATCACACGAGAAGTCTGTCGAAGCCCCGCCACAGTCGTCGCGTTCTTCTCCAACACCGACATATACCACCGCTCGCCCGGCCATCGCGCTCCCGACGATATCTGGCACCAACGACTCGGGCACCCTGCAAACAGTACAATACTACAAACCATCCAAGCCGAAGTGTTAGAACGTAACGCTCTCCTAACAACAAGCGGCCAAGAACTTCGACGACCACGCGCACGTTGCTTTACGTGCCCCGAAGCTGATCTTCCCCACCAGTCTTTCCCATCTCATCACAACCCAAGCGCACCTGCATACGCACCGATGGAAAAAGTCTACAGCGACATTTTAAACATGCCTCGAGAAGACACTGAAGCCGACTTCAACTATGTCATCACGTTTATCGACGCAGCAACAAGATACGTCTGGCACTACAACCTCAAGACGCGCGACCAAGCCTTCGACGCCTTCACGACATGGCTCCCCATCGCCGAACGAGAATCAGGAACCAAGCTCAAGAGCTTCCAGTCAGACGGTGCACTGGAATACCAGTCACAACGCTTCAGGACCTATCTGGCGGAAAGAGGAATCAGACGCCTGGTGTCTCTGCCCTACGCTCACCAACAGCAGGGGGTCGCAGAACGCATGAACCGGACCTTGCAGACGACGATGCGAAAGTTCCTCCTGGGGATGAGACTGCCCACCACACTGTGGCCAGACGCGATGACACATGCAGTCCACCTGCACAACCTGCTGTCCTCGTCATCGCTTCCCAACAACGCATCACTGCACCTGCTGTGGACACAAAAAAGGGGCAGCACAAAATTACTTCGAGTTTTCGGTTGCATGGTACAGTACAGACCCCACTCAGCCAGAGCAGGACGTTTCACTCAACGAGCAAGATGGGGGCTACACCTCGGCATCGCAAAACATTTTCACGCATGGAAAATCCTCGACATACAAGACAAAACTACAGTGGCATCACGTGATGTTATCTTCTACGAGCGACTGACGCTGCAGCATTACCTGGACAACATCGCCAACACACACGACCCCACCGACAGCTTCGCGGGCTTTCGTTCCTTCGCCGACCGTGCTGCCGAGGCTGACGCAGCAGAAGAAGACGTACCTGGAGCCTCGGAAACTGCCGGACCACTCCCTTTCTGTTCCGTACCTGTTCCACTCGATGAAGACAATCCCCTCGATAGCAACAACCTCGACACCTTTTACCACTTCGCCGACCAAGGTTACGTTACACCCCACCCCGTCGACACAAATGTTTCAGAACGCATCGGCCCAAACTTCTTACCTGATCCAGAAGATGGTGACGAAGCAGCCTATTCCGGGAATGAAAATTCCCCTCGACACACACCCACGGGCCTGCAGATACTTGGATTATGGGTCTCCGTCCAGCACCCGCCACCGCCATCTCCGCGCGAGCCCTCGACTCTGTCGCAGGCTCTGGGGGGGGAACATATGGCGAAATGGAAGGAGGCGATGGAAAAGGAGTTAAAGGCTCTGCAAGACCGAAATACATGGAAGCTGGTACCTGCAACAAGCATCAACGGGAAGAACGTCCTCTCGGGAAAATGGGTGTACCGCATCAAGACCAATGCGGACGGTTCCACCGAACGATTCAAAGCTCGATGGGTCATACGAGGGTTCGATCAACGATACGGAACCGACTACACAGAAACATTCGCCCCAGTCTCCCGTCACACCTCATTGCGCATCCTACTCGCTGTCG